ACCAAAGTGTTGCAGGTTCGATTCCCAGTCAGGCCACATACCTAGGTTGCAGGCCACAGCCCCCAGCAACCGCACATTGCTGTCTCTCTCTCTCTCTCTCTCTCTCTCTCTCTCTCTCTCTCTCTCTCTCTCTCTCTCTCTCTCTCTCTCTCTCTCTCCCCCCTCCCTCTCCCTCCCTCCCTCCCTCCCTCTCTTCCCTCTCTAAAAATAAATAAATTAAATATTTTTAAAAAAAAGCAAGACTTTGCAGGAACAACATATATTACATAATAAGAAGTGTTCTTTTAATTCTCAGTGCTTTAGTGAGCAGCTTCTTCACCTAAAGCTGTCCTCAGTACAAAGTGTGTGTGTAGCATGTCATAAAACAATTCTGTAAAGGCATATTAGGATATTTGGATGTGTGATTTGTTTAACATACACTGCATCAGTAAGTTTGCAGTTTGTTTCTTTGTGCCTTCTTTAAAAACATTAAAAGTTGTAAAGGGTTTATTTCAGTGCATGTGGTAGAGTTTTGTGTGTGATTCTTTGTTCCTGTTTTAAACTGTTATTAACCACTGAAGTGAACCTTCCCTTGGGTTTGGCCTTTCGTATTCACAGTGTATTCAAAACCTAATTACAGATTAGTCTATATTTGAGACTTTTAGAGCAAGTATCAGAAGACTCAAAAGGAATTTGAGAGTAGCAGTATCATTTCATGTGGCGATAAAGAGACCCAAAACATGAATGGGTGTCAAGTCATCTGAAGATCAGGAAAAAAGGAGCTTCCCTGAGCCTGATGGTTTATGAGTTGGGGATTATGGGAATATTCATGACTCAGTCAAGAAGCACAATGAGTTGATGTTTGAAATAGTTCATCTTTTAAGTAAACATTGGATAAATGGAAAGTAGACTCAGTATTCACTACATGTAGAATTGGCTGTTTCAGTGGAACAGAAATAGCAGTATGTTAATCCCTTCCTGAGTTGGTTTAATTTATCAAGTCAGTCACAGATTTTACAAGAATTCTCTAGCTGTAAATATTTAATGCAAGTGTTTAACAGAAAAGGGAGTTTCCTTTATAATTAGTCATGGTAATCTGTACACATATTTCTATGGGAAAGTAATTTCTAATGGAAAAGTAGTTAAATATAATAAGATTCAGGGATTTGAAAACACTAATAACTGGAACATTAGTTTTGAAGGCTCAGAAAGTAGAAAGCTTTAGTTGCTAACATTCAGCCTTGATTTTTATCGATAATTCCGTTTTCTATGCAGCGGATGGCATAGTTAGTATACAAAACAGTGCTGAAAACTTACATCAGAATTTAAAATGAATGAATTCAAATATAGGAAATAATGCTGCTTATTATTTGGGGTGTGTGTGTGTGTGTGTGTAAAAATATGTAGCTTGGTATAATATATAGCTTCCTTATAAAGCCTGAAGCCAGTTTCCTTTCTAAAGCTGTGTGCATAGTCAGCATATTTGAACCTTCTTAATAAGGTGCAATAATTAATTTAAAGTTTCTTTCTCCACTGGCATTGTGTTTTTAGAACTGAGGATTATGTGGTTCAGGTGACCCACCTAGCTTGCCTCGATCTTCACTGTCCCTGCGTACCTTGCCCCGTGTTCCCAGGCTTGCTCCATCCAGCTCTTGTGCTCCTGGCTTCTGCCCTCTAGGTCACTGGTGTAACATCCAGGAAACCTGTCAAGTTTTTTTTTTCTTCTTGATAACATACAGCACTTATTTTCTAGGCTATATTTTTGGAAACTTCATCATTTATCAAGTATTTATTGAGCATGTATACTGACTCAAACATTGTTGTAGACACTGAAGATGCTGATTTTTTTTTGTCCAGTTTCATACTCTTCTCAGGATTTCTCCAAATGTGTATAGATCAAGTCTGCTCAAGAGATAATATTTGTCAGATGACACCAACGTGTTACATATGTTTAGTCATCCCTAGCTGTGGAACAGTATAGGAGGTGCTTGGTAACTATTTGATTCCATAATTTTTACCAAAACATGTCTTGTTTCACATAAAAGGTAAAATGTACAACAAATACACTAGAAATAATAGCATTTGTTTTGTTACCACGTGGAGTGTGCATGTGGCAGCAGCTCTGGTGTGCATTCGCAATCAGAGGAGTGTGGGCGGGCTGCCTCTCCAGACATAATGGCCTTATCCTTGCCACTGGTGTCTGCGGAGTTGTATGAGGACCATATAAAATTTGAAATCACCCTGAAACACCCACAGACTTAGACTGAGGGGGGGAGTCAGCAAGGGATTCTCCTCAAAGGCAGGAGATCATCTGTGTTTCCATGTCACTGCATTAAGTACGTTATGAGTGAAGGATTGACCAAAGAAATGAAATTTTGTATTTGGTGTTAAAAGGATACACTTATTACAGTGAATTTTTTAAAATACTGACTTCCATCTTCTCCTCTCCTCCTCTCTTCCCCCTCCCCCCATTACTTTGTAGAGCCTGACCTAACTTTGTGTCATTCTTGAGGTTTCAGGGTGTGGTGATAGTACCGTGATATTCCAATTGTAAAACATTTGTAAAAACAGCTTTTTATGGGAAATTTGGAATTTTTTATTCTGTGTTTTTTGTAAAGTAGATAAATATTCCTTTTACATTCATTTAGAAAAAGAACACGCTTGTCTCTAAGTTCAGAAGAATTTGGATTTGATTTAGACGCCTGCATTCAGAGTGGCTCTCGGTCTCTTTCAGCACAAATAGATCTTACTCTGAAAAGTCTGTGAGTGAGGCTACTGTACCACCGGCTCGCAGATAGCCTGCCCCTGAGGATGGAGGTCATGGACAGCGCACGGGGTGGATAGAGCTGGCCCTGCAGCTGCCTGGTTTTATGCAGATCATGGTGCAGACAGAATTGTGTTTCCTCTCTTCATACAGTACCGCTTTCCCAAGTAGAAGGAGTTCCCAGTGAATGTTTAGTGGAGCCGCTCAACAGGAACTGCTTTGGTGGAGCAGTTAGTGGCGCTGACTGCTCAGTGAGCGGAGCTGCTGAGGTTCTAAACACCTGTTTTAGATTTCCATTTGTTGTGCTCATTAAGCTAGATAATTTTTTAAAGATCCCATACATTTCCAGAATTTTATAAGATAATTTAGAAAACTTATTTTCTTCTACCCGCTCCTCCTCTTAAAAATTCTTCAACTGATGAACTGTACTATGTGGAACTCTCTAATATTCATTGAGGAAAATCAGTGAAGCTGTTCTAAGCAACTAGATGAATTAATTTTAAAAATAAGAATAGTCCTTATTTTGAGAAAGGAAGTATGTTTATTGGTTCGACTGCTGGTTAAAAAAATAGTACAGACTAACAAAAAATACAGACTAAACTTTCAAGAGATAGGTTGGGATTATTTTTTCTAATTTGTCTGGTTTAACATTTATATAAGGAGTTAATGCTCCCTTTGTGAAAACTTCCCATATTTCCTTGTTGAATAACTTGATTACAACAATAGGAGTTTTTCTGTAGATTTTGTGTTTCAAAATACTAAGGATTAGAACTATTAAATTACTGGAAAACAATATAAAGACACTGTTTTTTTTTTAAGATTTTATTTATTTATTTTTAGACAGAGGGGAAGAGAGGGAGAAAGAGAGAGAGAGAAACATCAATGTGTGGTTGCCTTGCGCCACGCCCCCACTGGGGATCTGGCCTGCAACCCAGGCATGTGCCCTGACTAGGAATCAAACCAGTGACTCTCTAGTTCGCAGGCTAGTGCTCAGTCCACTGAGCCACACTAGCCAGGGCAAGACATTGTGTTCTTTGTATGTAACCATGATAGGATTGGTTGAGTTCCTATAATGCTAATAAGAAGCCATAAAAGGAGTAATTTTTATTGGCTGCTTGTCACAAGTACTGTCTCTTGGGTAAAAAGGAATACTTTCATCTTTAGTTAGAGTATTTTTAAATGTGAAAGATGTAAATGTTGAATATCAATATATCTTATGATTTTTCTATAAAGTAAAATGCTTTGCTTTTTTTCCTTTACATCACTAGCTTTGAACCAGTTGTTTACTTTGTTAATTCCCATTAACAGGTTAAATCGTGTTAAAAGGACAGAAATATTTGTTACTGTGCTCATTATAACCTATGTTTTAAAATAAGAGTTGTATGATTAAGTTAGCAGTGAAGTGGAATAAATTACCATTTTTCATTTTTAGTACTAAGAGATTGACATGTACAGTGAATAGTTTGCATTTGTGAGGAAAACCTTTACACTTCAGAGAGAAATTATAGATTTTGTTTTGGAAGTCTGTAAACATGAAAACCTAAAATCAAATAAAATAACGTAAATCTGTCTAATGGTGCTGGTGTTTCTAAACCTTCCTTTCTTCATTCACAGCTAGAAAAGTAATTTTTATATGTATTTTAAAATGTTATTGCCCTTTTCATGTTTGTTGCAAATATTTCCTACAATTTCTTTTGTCTTTTAACTTGAGAATATTTTGACATAAAGGTATATATTTTAATGTGGTCATGTTTGCTGATCTTTTCCTTTGTAACTCTTCCCATTACTTTATACCTAGAAAGTCATGTCTCAGCCTAAGGCCAGTTAAATATCTGAATTCTCTTTTAATTTTGTTAAGTAGTTTTATTATTTTATATATTTTCTTTTGTTCCAGGTATTGCTAACTCTGAGTCCTTGGCTGGACTCCAGAGAATCTAAGAACAACTTATAATTCTATACATAATTGTATATACATACATTTTTCTGTGTAAGATTCCATAACTTTTATTAGAATCTCAGAAGGGTCTATCATAAATCCCACATTCCTTTTCCAAAAAAAAGATGTTAACACCTACAACTATAATCCATTTGACCTTCATTTGGATATAAGGTGGTGTGTGGTGTCAAGGTCCTCCTTTTTCCCTTTTACCAAACAGTTAAAAGTGTCCCAGACCACTTACTGAGTAATTATCTTCTGTGATTTGTAATGCCTTTGAAAAATAAATGTCTTTAATTTTATCTCCTTTTATCTCCACAGAGAAAGTTAGAGAAATTCAAGAAAAACTTGATGCTTTTATTGAAGCTCTTCATCAGGAGAAATAAATTGTATTAAGTGAGTAAAAGTCCGCTTTCTACATTGGTACTGACTAAATGCAAAATTCATATGTTAAAAATTTGTCATTCTCCTTCACCACGTACTACTTGCTCCTTAAAAATAATTTTAACAGTAGGCATCTGTACATTTCATGTGTTGTATAATGTTATTTTAAATAACTCATTCACCTTCGAGCAGAACTAAAAATATTCTCTACAACTCATTTTGAACAGAAAAAAGGTGAACAGGCTAAGATATTTTATAATATGTAGGTAGCTCATAAATTTCCCTCATATAAAAATTGAACTCTTCATTTTCTTTGTTCATGTTTGGTGGGTAATTATATATATATATTAGTTTGCAAAACTTTTTATTTGGCTTGACTAAGAATTTTATTGATTGTTCTTAATCTTATTCTCTTATGTTTAAAACATTTAGATAAACCTTCTTCCTATTTAAAGTAACTCAGATAGCCTTAGAACTTACTGCTCTCCCGGCGTGGGACTCCTTTGTCTAGTTCTGCGGTCTGGCACTGCCGGCGTGTTCCCCACGAAGTGTTGAACATTGGGAGACTCTGCTTAGTAGCAGAGTCAGTTGTCGATTATTGCTGAAGAATTATGATTAGGTCTTTTTTTGTTAAAGAAGTTTAGAAAGGTAAAATGCTATGATTAAGACATGATTATTTGTTTAAAATATTTAACTAATCACTTTATCTGTGAACCATATCCTATAGGCAGCCTGTAACAGTCAGAACTGGAAGGAGTAAAAAATGTAAAAGATTCTCTCCCTAGCTGCACTGAAAAGGACCTTAGACCTCAAACTACCTACCGGCCGTACTGTGGGGGCAGTGTGTCTAAGAAAGGCTGGAAAGGGAAGCAGGACTCTGTCCGACAGTACACCAGCAAGGGCTGAGAGGAAGAAGTTAGAATGCTTTCGATTACTGCTTTGTAACTGTTTTGTTTGTCTTTTTTGTAAGACTGATGGTCAGATGTATACAAAAACGTATCTAGAAATTAAATATCAATAATCATTAACACAGGCCAAAAATAATTCATTGTTTTTAAGTGTCTGTGTTTGTAAAAATCTTATTCAACTTTGTGTATGAATTTTTTTAATCAGTGTTACGATATCACCTTCCTCATCATAATTACTATCTTTAGCTAATGTTAGAGATAAACATTTTGACAACCTTCTTGACTTGAAGATTCTCTTCAGCACAAAAGTTCATTTGATTTTTTTGTTCAGAAATGTGTTTTGTTGGGGGGGAGAGTCATGATGTCACAGAAGCCCCACTAAAAATATACACAACATTTCTCTTTTTAATGAAACGAGGAAGCCCAAAGCCAGCCATTGCTTTGCATGATAGTTAGCGTCACTTCCCCACGATGTCAGTGTGATATCTAGAGTTACTGTTGCTGCTGGAACAAGCCTTTTCCTGCCCGGGAGTCTGCCCCAGGAGGCCGCCAGGGCCGCACGAAGAGCCAGGCAGTGGTGGCGTTGGTGGGCAGGGCAGCCATCCCTGCCACCTTTGTTCCCTGCTTGTCTGTGGCTTCTAGGGCCCTTCCCGTCCCTCGGGGAGTTTGCCTCTGTGAACCGTTACAAACATCTGTGAATTAGACAGATGACCTGTTTTAATGTACCTTTCAAATCCGTTTAAAAGAGAAAATCTGGCAAAATGGTGGCCTTGCTTCATTCTGATCATTTTATAAAAGTTACTGAGCATCTTAAAGAATAGTTCCTCAATGATCATTTTAACATATGTGGAGTTCCTCCGCCTGATAGTTTTAAGTAACACATTCTGACACTTGCTGAAAATGTTTATGCCCAACACAGTCCTGTGCAGATTCCTTCTACCGATCCATTTTAACATATTGTGGTTTTACTTTTTTCTCTAAGAAATGAACTTGAGTATTTTTTATTCATATGCCATTTTGATGAAATTATATTAGATTATGGTAGGTGATATTTTAAATTTAATAAAACTAGCAAATTGCAAACTTAGGCAGTTAAGCTTCAGCATTTTAGAGATCGTGCAGTAATGTCTCCCCAGACCTAAATTTATCAAATGTGTTTATTTTCACAGATTCCTACTCATAATATCATCACCTCAGCATATATCTCTGAAGAAAGAAAACTACAAAGTCTTTTGTCCTGCCTTTTTCCCTCCTGCTATCACACCTTTCTAACCATAAAATAAAGTCATGGGATAAAAATAATTTATGTGTGTTAGAGGCACTTTACCCACCGGCTGCCTTTTGAACAGAAGAGCAAGGAAACGGCGTTAACATCCGATTCATGTTGTACTGAGGTGGCAGATCAGGATGGTGTGAGTGGTCTGACCGCTAGGTTCAGTCCTAAAGAGAAGAAACTTGCTCTCCTGCTTGTCGTCTCACTTGTGGCAGCACTAATCCAACTCATGCGTTAGCCGGTGTCACTCCATGCCAGGTCCTTGTCCAGAACGGGAATGCTGGGTGTTCTGAGATAACACTTGCAGCAGTTTTCTAAAAGCTGTCAATTGTGTATGAAGTGATGGTAACCTACTAAGTTGCTGTCCGTGTCTGTAATGTTCTCTGTCCAGAAACTCTCTGACCATTATAATTCAGTTTATATTCTTCACGTGAAAGAAAACTAGTTAACAAAAGAACCCCTCATATGGGGTAATTTGGATTACAATTCCGTGTACATTCAGTGAAAGAGATTTCAACGCTTGTTGACAGTTTAGAGAGTTGCCTTAGAAGCTAAGTCACTCACAGCTTACCTATTTGATTCCATTGATGTTTTTCTGCTCTGTATCTATTTGAAATTCATTTGTTTTGGATGTTAAGCTAGGCTTTTTGTTAACAGTGGCTTTTTACCTGTCGACAGATCTATTGGTTTGTGACACGGGATAGGGAAGACTAAGAATAATCAATTGAGTAATTACATTTTGACTGTTGTCAAACATTTCAACTAGGCAACAGGAAAGGGCTTTCTTTCATAGGCCTATATTTTAAATAGAAATTATTTCAGCAATCAGAATAATGTTCACCATCCCCTGTTAACTGAATATTTAAAGAAAAATACAAAGTTTAATTTACTGCAGTTCAATTACAATAATACCCTCACAACATTTTCACGTTTTATATAAGTATTTTTATTGGCTAAAGGACTTTAAAGCAAACAAATATGCCATTTTTTACTTCAAATGTTTTACTCATTTAACTCTGCTCTTTGCTGCCATTTCATTAAGCCTTTATTATTCTAATCAAAGTGCCCATTGTGTAATAGTTTTTATTTTATAGTTTGCAGTTTTCTAGAAATTATGTTTTGGTAACAGTTCCCTTGCCACTTGGCGCTTTTCTTTTTTTAAATTTAACATCACTACATCCTTCACTGTGATCTCTCTCAAGGTCTGACACTTAATAAGCAAGTTTGAAGCCTATCACAAAGTATTTCAGAAACTGAGAGTTCAGTTGGTTTATGCTATTTAATAAAAAAAGCAGACGCAGCTTCCAGCAGCTAGGAGCAGTAGACATCATTATTTGGTGGATGAATAGTCAAGGGCACTTCCTGTGTCTGTCAGATTTGGGGATGGTGAAGGGACAGAAAGGGGGCCCCCACTGTTCTGTGCCAAGATTAGGAGGTGACCTCCCTGGCTGACTCCTTCTAACCAGTGCTGGCCAGTGGGGAAACCCCTCCCTGAAGCAGACACTGTGCAACCATTCATTCTCTTGTAGCTGTGAAACACAGCCACTTCACACAACTGCAGGTCTGTGTCTGAGTCAGAAAGGAAACAGGACCATGTTTATTTCTGTGAGCTCTAGGTAGGAAAAAAAAATGCCTTCAGCTCTGTGTTCTTTGGTTTCTCCCAGGCAAAAGGCTAGTATTATGGAAGTACTTTTGCCACATCCCTTTGTGTAAATTTAAGAAAGGGGGGTGGGGTGTCTTTATTTCTTTGAGATCAGTATTTGTGATTGAAATATATAAATAGATGATAAAAATGAATATTATTAAAAATAACTATATAGGACTCCAGACATTTTCCCACCCTCATCAGTAATATGACATCTCTCATGGATGATAGATATTTTCTTTTTTTGCTGATCTCACACTAAGCATGCCTGTTTTTTTTTTAAAGCCAGGTACTTAATTAAAAACATGTTAATAAAAGAAAATAATAAAATTCAGATTCTCAACAGTAAATCCTTGTGTTGTGTCTGTAGTTCAAAAACTACAAATGATTCAAATTTAAACAAATCACTTCAGAAATTCAATGTACAGAAATTAAATTCTAACTAGACCAGGAATTATTTGTTTCTCATGTCAGGATTAGCAAAGAATAGCATGAACAGAGCTCTCTGTGGAAGACTGGACAACTGCAGAGAAATGATGTCTGAAATTCACCGAGCCAGGGCACCGATGTAGAAATCGGACTGTGGGGGTGGTGCGCAACGGGACACAAGTCCCCCAGGCTTCACGGCTGAGCGGGTGGGCCTATGAGGCTGTCTCCCCGTTTCAGTGGCTTGACTGTATTCTCTCCTCCTATTAGACCCCTCTTCCGGGCTTTAGTCCAACAGACTCCTTCCCACAAGTAATTTGTCCTCCAAATGCCAATGCGTAGAGTGAAAAATGAGTAGGGAACATGGCAGAGAGTGGTGTTTCCTAAACTTACGATTTGGGAATGTTATACCTGATGGTAAGACTCAGAATGTAGGTTTAAAAGATAAATTCCTTAATTAGTTTATAATTTTATATTTATTTATTTTAGATTTATTTATCTGTGTAAAGAAATACAGTATTTTAGTTTTCTAATTGAGGGGATCAAAGTAATGCTCTTTATCTCAATTCTCTAAGCTGGTATAAGCTGTAGTTTCAGGTACTTGAGCAGTGTGGAAATGTGCTTATAAATATGCTTACCTGCTGAACAATCATGGCTGTGTTTAAATACTTCAAACAACATTGTTTTTACTTGTGCACTGTGAGTGAACTTTGTATTATTTTTTAAAGCCTTCATACTACATGTAGATGTTATTGCAATTTATCTTTTGCCTGTGCTTGATTTAAGGTCATTTGTGTAGATGAGTAATTAAAGATATTATCTAAAGAGAGCATCTTTTAAGTTTTCTCTGTTCTAATGATGGAGAGAGAGACCTCTTCACCTACGGTCATAATTTGACCCCCGGGCATAGCCAGATTGGTGGGATGACAAGCCTCTGATGTGACTCTTCTCTGAAAGCCCTAACTTCACGTCTCACACGTCACAGTTGTAATCTCATGGTCAGACAACACCTTTTTATTCATGTCTTGATACTTGTCAAAATGTTTTGGTATTTGGGAGGGTAAAATATACCAAAAATGCCAGCGTGTTTAGTTAGTTATACATGAGTCATAACTAGGTCTTAAAACTAAGTAACCTTAAAGATCACCGAATTCTATCTACCACCTGATTATGAACTCCCATTTCTCGTTTCTCATTTATTATTTCTCCCAGAACTTTGTTCATAAATGATGCTTATTAAATACTTATTGATCATTTGATGTGTAAAAGAAGGCAGAATGTGGATGTGCCTTCTCCAGGATTCATATTAACTGGCTAAAAGTCAAAACTAGGAAAACACTCAAAGTCATGATGACTTCAGTAAGTAGCACACAGTGGCCGACACATGGTGTGTTTCTGGTGAGTAAATGTCAAGAAAGAGACAAAGTCTTTGATTCCTTTAGGAGGTTTATAGGGAACGCTCCGTTTAAATCCCATCAGCATTTGCTTCGCTTATCAGTACTAACAGACCAATTCTAGTGTAAGGCCTGAGAAATAGTTGTATTTTAAATGTGTCCTTCTTTTGTACAATTCAAGTTCAAAATCTTCATGTATATAAAAAGTTTGAAGAATTTACCTCCTGAAAATTTAATAATTTATCTCTTCTCTTCTAATTTTTCCAATTGAGTTAATCTCTATCAAAATGAAGTAGCTACCATGTGCTTGTAAATGATACAGATGTATTATTTAATTGTATTACAAAATGCTTTTTTACAATAATCAAGCATACTCAGTTTGTGAAAGGTGAAACGGTCATTTTCTACACATATTAGACTAAGCTGATAGATGTAGAAAACTAAGGAGATAAGACAAGTACTACAAAAATTGTCAAAGGTTAAAAAGGACATCCTCAGGAAAGTTTAAATGTGAGTGATCTTTAACCTGAAGAATACCATTTTATTTTTTGTAAAGAGTAAGACAAATGTGTATCACAAGGCATTGGGTTAAATCTGTATCTTGAAATGACCAGCGAGTTACCAGCTTGAAAACCTGAATGTGTGTTATATATGATTGCTCTCTGAAAGACAAGGAAGTAACTACAACTTTTTAATGTTTTTAAATCACTCCTTCACCTTTTGTGGTAAAGAATTCTTGTTCTTTGTTTTGTTTTTGCATTTAACTAATTAACCCAAGTGTAGTCTGGTTCCTATACAAGCATTTGAGAAAATTCAAAAAGTCCTTTGTTGAAATATACAGGTAAGTGGGGCCACGGAAGACCCGTCACCACGCCAGGACACTGCCAGCCGCTGCCTGCAGAGGCACATCTATGGCTGTGCAGAGAGCACAGGGGACCCTCCCCAGAGTTCAAAGCAGAAGGTCCATTCTGCGCTTACTGTTGGAGTGACTACATCACAGAGCAGCGTAGCAACAACCTAGAAATTCAAATACTAGCCACTGGTCAGAAAATATGGTCTTGGTTTGACATGTTTTGGTACTTGCCAAAGCTTGCAAAACCTCTTGAGAAAGTATGTAGGGAATAGGTTAACTCCAACTTCCTGCTTTGCTAAAGTTTACCTGTGAATTAGGCTAAATCATCAGAAATCAAAACAGCCTGGACTTGCCTTTACCTACCTCTTAATTTATCGAATGTCTGTGGCTTTCATCAATGGACACTATTTTGTACCTATTTGAAGAAAATGCACATCTTCTGCAGAAAACTGAATGGCCTGTCCCTGGTATCACTTAAGTTCATTAAGAAAAGGATGAGCCAGTAATTCCGTGACTGCTAAGTTTCCTGCTCCAGACACGCGGACACGCCACTTTCCTTCTGTTAAAGAGGACTCAAGACCTTACCTGTTTCTTTGCTTCAGCTGCCCAGAAATATTGAAGTTAATTTACCTCTTAAAAGATGAACCAATCTTTTTTATGCTTCCTTAGTTTGTGTCTCATTTTTGTTTCTAATACCTCTTTTCCACACATCTTAATGCAGGCAGTCATTAACGAAATGCAGTGCTTACTATTTCTCCATTGAGCAATGTGTTTGTCCAGAGGGCTGGAGTGCAGTCATGGTGGTCATTGGCGCTCTGAGTGCAGCACAGCCAGTACCCTTACATGTCACAAGTACAATTTTTTTCTACGATCAGTTTATAATATAGTAAAAACCGGAAGTCACCTAATGTATGCCTTAAGAACACAGCATGCACGCAGTGACAGGAGTGAACCTGCCTCCTAGCCGCCATGAGCACCGCTAACGGGAGGAGGAGGCACCTGACATGTGTTGGAAGAAAGGGTCTACAGCTAGCTGCCTCATCTGTAGCCACCCAGGGGTAGTCACACACCTAACAAGGGCCTGTGCTATAAAGGTCTTTGTAGGGTCAAGGAAGCATGCTGTCTCTAATCATGTACATTGTGGGATCCATCTAGACATCCCCCTGAAGCCTTCTTAATGGCCGATATCTTGCCAAGTATTAATCCCATGAAACTTTTTTTGTTTTCTTTTAAATTTTGAAGTTAAGAAAACAACTTAAACCTAGAGCATCCATTTTCAACTGGTGTGCCAGGGCACACTGGTGTACCACAAGAATTTTTAAAACATTAAGTAATTCCTGACCATTTAGTCAGAAGCACTGACCTCTGTTCCTTTAGACTGCCAAATTACAAAATGACAACAGCCAAAGTAATAGCCGTCCCATGTGAATGAATCAAAATTATACCTATTTTTCTCAGATTGGCAAAAAAATACATTTTTTGGTGTACCACAGAATTTTAGTAATTACTTTGTGTGCCATGAGGTGAAAGGGGTTGACAATTGCTGATTAGGGCAAAGAACCCAGTATGCTTTGTGTTTTGCATCCATTGTCGGAGGCAGTGCTGTTTCCATTTTATCAATGAGGAAATAGGCTCAGAGAAGCCTTAAGGTCATTCTCATGAGTAGCAAAGTCTAAATTTAATAAGCCTGATTATCAGGGAAATGAATTTACTTATGAAAGTAAATAGCGTAGTGATGCTCCTAGAAAATGAAAAATGAGCGAACTTGACAGAAGTGGCCCAGGGTGGTTTTCCCTGACCTGGTGAGCTGCTGCTGCATCACAAGAATGGAAATAGCAGAGGTGTGGTGTGCGGCTCCCGTGGGCCCTGGAGGACAGGCAGTGACCGAGGTTCAGAGGGCTCTGTTCTCACCTCCCCTCCAGACCTTAAGCCTTAGGAGTAAAAATGAGGACTTTGTAATTTTTCCTCAACATGTTAATCCTATTACCTTTCCCATCTTACCTATGCAGATTCTCAAGATCTTTTTGAGTAAGCCCAACTAGTAAGATATTGCACTATGTTAACCCCAGTCTTTAATACCTATGGTATGTTATTTCCCCAAATTTTGCTTTCTTGTTTCTAATAAATTTAACACTGAAGGAAAGCTATGCGTGGCAGTCTACAATTTCAACTCAATTCATTTTCAGGAATATTTTACATGTTGTTTACTTAATTTTCTTTCCCTGAGAGTCCCTAGTTTCCCGAGACTACTGGAATTGAAATGGGTACTTTCCAGCCAACATTCTCTATCTTTTCCTTCATTAGAACCTCCTCATATGAATGCTTAATTGAACATCCCTCCCTTTGCTGCCCCTACAGATATGAGACTCAGCCAGCACAAAGCCACTCCCATTTTCATACACTTAGATTTCTCTTTTGAAATACCTGAGATATTTGCATTCTTGCTCATTATACTAATTGCTGTGGTCATAACAGAATCAGGATTGTGAGACTGTAGTTCCAGTGCATCCAGAGTGCTGTTTTGTCACTATGTGGGTGCACCAGGCATTTGGATCCCGTTCTCTCCGCCGGGCGCCCCTGTCGGAGCGCTTTGCCAGCTGTGTGCCCTGCGATTGGCCGGGCTTTTGATGTGCAGATACTACAAGTTGGTCACAAACTTGTGTACAATGGGCCTGTTCTGGTTCATGTGAAAATCAACATCCTTTTTTGTGTTCCCGGCTGACAGGATGCTACAATACTATTAGCATTTGCAAAGAGTGCGCGCCGTCCAAGGGTGTAACCGCAGACCGTGTGCTGCTCAGTTTGTGCCTCTCTATTCTGTGAGGGACACAAAGAAGCTGAAGGCAGGCAAAGGCCTGTCAAATCCTGTAACGTAGCGCTCGACCCCCAAACTCCACTTGGCCTCCACGCATCTCTTGTTCCCGATCCCACCCCTTCCTCTGAATGGGCTCTGAGGTAGGTAAATGAATTCAGAGGCCTGGTGGGCGGGGGATTCCTTTCTGACCTCATTCCTGTACCATTTGTTTGCAGGCTTGTAGGGGGAGAGGAGGACATTTTGGAATCCTTTGTGTCAAATCATTTTCTTGCAGGTTGGGGAGTTAATGGTAACTTTGTCTGAAGCCAGCCAAGCAGAAAGCCTCCACGGACCAGGCGTGGCGTGCTCACCCTCCTCAAAGTAACTACAAGATGAGAATGTGGAAACAGGGAAATTTCCCAGAGCAGATGGGTACGCCGCACGTCTGCCCGTTCAACATCTGGTAGTGGCAAGCCTGAATCTTCCCGCGTGTATAAAATAGAGTCATTCTTCCTTTAAAAAGAGTTGCTGCTTTCTGAGCCACCATGGCTTTTATATTGATGCCTCTCATGCGGAGACTCTTTTCCGCAACCGGTTACATGTATTCCGAAATACTTTCAAGCCTTCTACTTCCTGGCTAACTACAGAGTAGGGTGTGATTTCTAGAGGTGTTATATCATTTTTACCCTCAGATTTACTTCATTTATCTATAAAATGAATTAGAAGTATAGAACAATTGCTCTTGGTTTCCTAAAAAGAAGAAGGAAAGAGGCCCACAGAGAAGCAGC